CCCCAAAACCCCAAAACCCCAAAACCCCAAAACCCCAAAACCCCATTTTGAGAGAATTGCGTTGGGATTATAAATTTATTTAAAATGAGCGATTCGCGAGTGTGATGGAATGGATATCGATATGGTAGCTTTGATTTTAATGGAATAGATGAAGAGATACACCATTTAGAGAATCCTTCAATCTCAAGCAGATGGATACATAAATCTAAAACACAACTTTATTATGTTTTTCAAACCCTTCTTCCCGTGGTTTATTGTTTAATAGTTAGTGGGAACTTGGGAATCACCTTCCTTTCCCTCTATCCATTCTCAAAGATCAAAATGTAAGTGGCACTACATTCTCTCTAAATTAATTTCCAGTATCAAAGTAGAACCCTTTAAAATTTCTTTGCTAATCTTCTTGATTATTTTACACATAAGTCAGAATTGATAAAATATAGAACAACTATTATTCATTTGGGGATTATCCAACTAATCAGCATCATGATCATCTGGAGCCATTGTGCCTGCTCCTCAACTGATCCAGGTTCACTACCTATGAAAGTTGAAGAAATCGACCCTCGAAAGATTTCTGCAGACACTAGAAATATGTGGCAAGAAGTAAAGTCAGAAATCTCCAAAATAAATAAAAGCCGAAAGTTAAGCCCAGAAGAAACTAAGGAGAAAGATATGGAAGAAGTTGAGCTAAAACAAGTTTCTGCAAATAAATCAGTCAATAATGATTTTACACAAGATAAGGCTATACCTGATGAAGCTAGAAATTCTGATGATTTAGAAATTAGTGAGAATACAATTGATCAGAGATCAACACAAAATGATTGCATCAATGGGAGTGAGTCTTCAAGGACCTCTGCTGATAAGATGAATGATGAAAGTAAGAAAAAGCTAATAGACTCATTTACTAACTTCTGAAGTAAATGCAAAAGTCTTAAACCACCAAGGACTCATCATTGCAGTCAATGAGGAAGGTGAATAGCAAGGATGGATCATCACTGACCATGGATTGATAACTGAGTTGGGATTAAAAATCAAAAACAATTTGTTCTGTTCTTATCATATCTTCTTCTTGGCTGATGATATGGAATGACCACCCTTATTTTAGACGTATTTATATGTATCATTAGTAAAGGCAACAAATACTCAAATCCTTTTGTGATACTTATTGCAATGGGAACTCTATTCATTCAATTTATGTTCTTAGTGTTTGCTTACCTCATGCTCCAAGACCAATTCGACAGCATTATAAATGATACTTCAGTGATTGACAGGCTAAAACGAACTCAATTACATAAGCCTAAAGAGCACTGGTGGGTTTTAATTAAGAATGTCTTTGATAATGAAGCTAAAATATGGTGGTTGCTGCCTACAAAGATTCACAGAAACGTGACGATTGAGAGCCAGTATTAACTAAATTTTCAATATTCGGAGCAAATGATGGGGTTTTGGGGTTTTGGGGTTTTGGGGTTTTGGGG